CTGCAGGTCTAGCAAATCTTAATAGGGAGGAATACTCATAGTTTTAAAATTAATGCCATTGAAAACACTTGAGAAAAAATGTAATTTTCCTAATTTTTTCTTCAGTGATATGCCTGTTAATTTTTAATTTGATAGAAAAAGAGTTCTTATTCTTTAGTCTTTCACATAAACTGTAAATTAACTCATGTCTGTTTCTCAGAGTAATAAGAATAATTATGACTTACAGCCTAGATTTATTGACATTTATGGCCAACAGTTGAGTGAGATAGGTATTATTTGATTTCTCAATATGAGGAAACTGTAGTTTACAGAGGTTGATGCTTGTCCAAATTCACACAGCTCCTAAATATTGAGGGTAGACTTAGATAATGATAAAGAGGTTTTCCTCACTGATCTCATAATTCCCATGAAACAGTGTATCAATCCCTTTATAGATTTATAATAAGTGCTTATGGAATTTAATCCAAGAGATGACATCCAGTGTACCAGAAAGGACGTGATATTTAGCATTGTAATAATAACATAGTTCTAACAAAAGTTAACATTTATTGAGCATCTACTGTCCAATAGACACTACTGAAAAGTGTTTTATGCTCAATGTATTAAGTCTTTAGGTATAACATTTACTAATCTGTAACTCTGGGAAGTTATAATTACTACAAGATAAGAAATAGGATGAATCCCCATCTAAGGGGAAATGTATTTGTCTCAGAAGTACAGGTGGGAATGAAGGTGATGTATTCAAACTCCATCAAGGCAAGGACCTGATCTGTTTTGTTCATGGCTTTATGTCCCACTCCTGGAACAAAGCCCAAGATGTAGGCACTTAGCAGATATTTTACAGGGTTATAATAACATTGAGTCAATGAGTCAACTAGATATAATATCACTGTTACTAGGTTGTTGTGGTGGCCAAGTGGGTTAATAAAAAGTGTACTAATACTATTCAAGATCCTCATTTTCATTGTCTTGGGTTTAAACATCTGAGTGCTACCCCCTTGTAAAAAAATCTAGATTTATTATTGTACGTTCTTATGGTATCCTGAATATGTTACTTTGGTAGCACGGTACATAGCTCTGTGAAGGAAGGGGCTATGTCTGTTTGTTCACCTCTATATCAATAATGTATAATAGGTGCTCAGTGGGTGTTTGTTGAATGAATGGATATAATCTTAGAGACTGTGTCTAAGGCCAACAAAACCTTAAGCCTAAATAGTAATTAAGCCACCTTTTACATTTACACAGCAATTGATACATTATCCAAGTGAGTTCTCCCATTCTGTTCATCTCTTTTATAATCTCCATTCCCTCTAAAATAATTGAAGCTGCACTTCCAGATGACCCCTTCAAAACATCAGTTAAATCATGCCATGCTCCTGCTCAGGTATATACAATAACTCCCTATTCTAGTATTACATAGATTCCCAACTTTTAGTCTGATATTCAAGACCATCACTTTTTACCTGTCCCTTTGTAGAAGGTGAAGCCTTCTAACTGATGTGATTGGACTGTGTCTCAGCCTGTTTGTGTTGCTATAAAGGAATACCTGAGGGTGGGTAATTTCTAAAAAAAAAAAAAAAAAAAATTTTGGCCAGGTGCAGTGGCTCACACCTGTAATCCCAGCACTTTGCTTTGGGAGGCAAAGGTAGGAGGATCACCTGAAGCTAGGAGTTCGAGACCCCATCTGTACAAAAAATCAAAAAATTTGCCAGGCTTGGTGGCATACACCTATAGTCACAGCTGCTTGGGAGGCTGAGGTGGGAGAATTGCTTAAGGACAGGAGTTTGAGGTTATAGTGAACTATGACCATGCCACTGTACTCCAGCCAGGGCAACAGAGTTAAAAAAAAAAAAAAAAAAAGGTTTACTTAGCTTACAGGTCTGCGGGCTATACAAGAAGCATGGTGCCAGATCACATGGTGTGAGAGGAAGCAGGGGAAGAGGTGCCACACTCTTTTTTAATAATCAGCTCTCTTGGAAACTAATAGAGCGAGAACCACTGATTACCACAAGGACAGCACCAGGCCATTCGTGAGGGATCCACCGCCATGACCCAAATACCTCCCCCTAGGCCCCATTTCCAACGTTGGGGATCAAATTTCAACATGAGATTTGAAGGGAACAAATATCCAAACTATGTCAGATCAGTATTTAGTTAACTTTAAAACTTAAGTTAAAGCAAGGAAATCATAAAAAAGTTGTAAACTTTAAACTTTTTGAGACCTAAAACCTATAATTAAACATTTATTTGTTAATCTTTTGGTGAAGGTCTAAACCTTTTATGAGCCCACTGCCTAGAGTTGCATGTCTTCTTTAGTGCATGTGTAAACTATACCTGTGCTGCATTGGTGCAGCACAGTAGCTAAAAGCCAGACTATCTAAGCCAAATACAGTCTCCACCACTAAGAGGAATGTAACCTTGGGCACGTTCCCTAACTCTCTGTGCCTCAGTTTCCATTATCTGTAAAATGGCAATAATAATGGTAGCAACTTAAATTATTATAAAGATCAAACAAGTTTGATATATGTGAAGTACTTAGACTAATTCTTGTGACATAGTGTTCGGTCATTGTTAGCAATTGCTATTAATCTGTAGTATTACTATTTTCCCCAGTTTTTTTTTTAAATAGAAAAATCAAAGGTATCCCTTATCTGAAATGCTTGGGACCAGAAGAGTTTTGGATTTTGGATTTTTTCTTGATTTTGGCATATTTCCCTACACATAATGAGATGCCTTGGGGATGGAACCCAAGGCTAAACCGGAAGTTCATTTATGTTCCATATACACCTTATACATAGAGCCTCAGGGCAGTTTTATCAATATTTTCAATAATTTTGAGCATGAAACAAAGTTTTTGTTGAATATTTAAGTATGAAATTTTCCACTTGGGGCGTCATGCCAGTGCTCAAAAAGTTTTGGATTTTGGAGCATTGCAGATTTCAGATTTTCAAATTAGGGATGTTCTACATGTACTTACAAAATAATGTGAGTGCAGATTTCTAAATTTTCATGATTCTTCCCACCTGCCCCCACCCCAGTCTTTTCATTACTAAATTATCTTACATTCACCTTATTTGAGTACAATTGTTTACAAGGCATCTTTCCACTTAGATTTTATAAAACAACAACTTTTTTCATACTCATATTTCACCCTTTTACTTCATATTTAATTAAATTAAGTCATTACAATAACAAGTAACAAATGGCACAAGCATGTTTGGGGGAAAGAAACACAAGAACTGTGGGTAGCTCAACTGGTGGGAGCAGAATTCTGTGGAGTCCAGAGTTTAGCACCCCCGGGGCATCAATCCGTATGTTTTCCAGGGAGACTGGAGAACCTGGCTTAGTTGAGAATGAATGTGCTGAGTCGTGTCTGTCAAGACAGAGTCTAGTAAAGAAAGT